GAGAGGACTCAGTGCCAACTCTGTGGCCTCGCAGGTGGGGACGTACTTTGGCTCTTGCACCCAGCGTGGCCAGAGACAGAGGCCCTCCAGGGACGGGGATGCAGACCAGTGCCCATTCTCCGTGTTCCTGCGTTGGGTGGCACGTTGGCGGGTGACTGCCGCAGGGCGGTCGGTGGCAGAGACACGAGGGCGATGGCAGCCACGCCTCTGTCCTGCGCTACCATCTTGTCACTGCTTTGCCTCTCCATGCCCAGGCTCTCATCCCATGCCATAGTCAACCCGACACCATCTCCTAGACTTGCACCAGGCCCTAATCTTCTCTTGTATCTCAGAGTCTCCCTGCTGCTGCTCCTGTCCCAGCAGAGCCAGGCACTCCTGGACACTCCTGCCTGTTTGCTCTGCAAGACCCTCCTGTAAGTGCACCTGGGGAGGTGAGAGTGGTATGGAAGGACCGTGCTCCCCACGGAGAGGGATGTTCCTGCTGCACAGAGCTCGGCAGCGATTCAGGTCCCAGACCGCTTGCTGGTCTGTGCAGAAATAAATGTCACTATTGGCGGTGCTCAAATCGAAAGCAGCAGGTCGCAGATCCAGGGCCCTCTGGTTCTCCTGACATGGATAAATTGTTTTTCTAGTGTTCATTTATTCATTCTACATTTCAGAACTAACTCTATAGAAAATGAACACAGTAGGGCCTCTCAGTACCAAAAGGAAGAGTTTTAAAAGTAACGCAAACCCGGAGAACGTGGACAACTGACGAGAGCTGGCTGCGGCTCAGCCCAGACGCAGCGTTCAAGCACCGTTCAGCAGTAGGTGTTGAAGGAGCAACAGAGTCGGTGGCACTGCCCCTCCGTGACAAGGCGGCCGTGGAGGCCTTTGGCAGCGCTGCCCGCAGAAGGCTGTTTTATCAGCCCCGTCCGGAGCTGTTGTGCGCGTACGGTATCGATCCGTAAGCGCTGACATTAGCAAGCATGCCGTGTAGCAGCATTTGTGTAATGTGGATCAATACTCATTAGGTGCAGAGGGCACAGAGCTCTGCAAGCAGCAGAGTTTCTTCCAGAAAGGCAACACTGAACTCCACGTGACCTTTGGAAAGCCCTGGCCAAGTTGTGTTTGCAGATCTTTCCTCCACCCACCCCTATTGTCCTCTCAAAGTTTCTCTCAAGACCTGAAGTCCTCAGAACGCCTCTCCTCCCCTTAATCTGCACATTGCACTTGTGTGTTAGCAGCGTCTGGGAAACTGCTGGTGGTATTCAATGCTCTTTGAGAACAAAGAAATCTCCTTTGGTGGCCATTTCAGTAGAAGTCCATGAACCTCGTTTCTGCCAGCCAGAAGCGCTTCCGCTACTTCTGTAAGTTCATCTGCTGAACTGACTTCCAAACTGCCCCAGTCCGGATCAGATGTCCTTTTTTATTTCTTCAGAGAAGGAAGAAAGGGGCAGAAGTGCCCTTGCACAGTGTGCTGAGCTGTGTTTATTGGCATCCATTACCAGTGGCCTTTACACTGTGCTGCTGAAATGAGCTGAGGTGGCCACTGCTCCTTGAAGCCAGAAGTTCTGAGCAGCCACCACAGGTACAGTGCCCGAGCTGGAGATGCAAGAAAAAGCAGAAGGCCACAAGCCGGGTGAGGATTTAGAGCAAGTGATGTTTGTGACCTAAGTCTGAAACTTCTGATTTAAAATTCTGGAAGTGGAAGACCAGTCTGGAAGATGGCATGGGAAGGCCTCCAGCCACAATGAGGTGATTAAACCAGTCCCGACTCCTTCCGAGTACGGAACGTCCCATTCTGCTGCTTGCCAGTGACGGGGTTTCTCTACTGTCCAGAGGTTTGAATGAAGGAGAAAGTCCCCAGCATTTTGGACTTACTAACTTGAATTCCCTCGACCAAGTCATCTCGAACCCTTGCGTTCATCCAAGAAACTGTTTACTGCAGTTTATATTGAGCCAGGATGGAGGGGAAATAACTAGAGATACACTTCCTCAACCTTGTAATGTGGCTGGAAAATATTTAGGCAGTGCTGTTTGCAGTCCCTGCCCCAGCTGGGGCTGAAAAGCAGCAGTCGTGGCTCCAGCTCACTGCCCGTGGGACAGCACTGCTCCTCCTCCCATTGCTGCCTGAACAGGCTGAGGTGAACTGCTGAGAGCATTTAGACCTCTCCAGCATCGTAAGTGTAGCCCCAGCCAGAAAGAAAACATTTCTTTTCCAAGAAGGAATGCATGACCAAAAGCAGCGCTTCAGTTTGCAGATCTGGTTTTAGCCGTACAAAACCTCCCCAGCAAGCAGAAAGGCGGCTCAGTAAAAGAGGCCGAAGAGTTGTGGGAAGTCTCTGCTTGCAGAGGGAATATCCCACGTCGAGCCACTGCGTTTGCCTGCAGCTCTGTGCTCCCCAGGTCCTGTCCTCCCGAGGCGTAGGACCTGCTCAGAAACCCGCGCCCCTCTCTTCCAGCAGGACCCCGCTGCAGCACAGCTCTTTGTGGGGAGGCGCAGGGAAGAATTTGGCCCGTGAAAGGCTGTTGGACCTAAAATAACACAAGGTGCAGAGCAGGAGTTGTTCTTCCCCCCAGCCCCGACCACTCTGGGAGCTCAGACTTGTCTGGGGCTGTTGGAGCAGCATGGGAGAGGGCTTGCTTGGAAGGAAATTCTCTCTCTCCAGCTTCATGACCATTTCTGTTACAGGTTTTTCTTTTGTTATGGTTGTATGTTTCATTGTAGGCCCCTTCTCCTGTGAACCCCAATGCCCTGGACCGCACTGCTGCTTGGCTTTTGAATATGAACATGCAGTTTTTAGAAGATGAAAGCATTGACCCAGATTCCAAGCACAGGGATAAGCTCAGGAATAAGGACGAGCTCAGCCAAGCAGAAAAGGTAAAACCTGATTGGATCGAAACAAGTTTCTAAATAGAGAGAGGATTTCCTTGAATGTCGTTCATCTGAGCACCCTGGGGACCAGGTGGGCTGTGTGGCACATCCCTGCCCAGGAGAGGGGTCTCAGGTCACTCTGTGCCTGGCTGCTCAGCCTCACAGGGCACTTCTGGGGAAGGTTTGGGAGGTTTTTCACACACTCAGTGACTGGAATTACCCTCTGATGAGAGCAAGTAAGAAAAACAGGAGCCAGGAATCAAGTGGTGGTGCTGCTCTGCAGCAAACTGACACCAGCCAGAGCCTGTGACTTGCCCCATTCCTACTGCCCCCGGCTGCAGGGGGAGAAAGCTTAAACACTGAATTCAGCATACCTGTGAAAGAGATGAGAGTAAGGACCAGGCAGCTTCGTGCCTCACAACAGGGCCATGTAGCACGAAGCAGATCCCATATCAAAAGGCTGTAAATAGACCTAAAAATTCAGATTCTCTGCTCAGAAACAGCTCTAGGGTCTGGGGTGACTTCAGTGGTGCAGGGACACTGCCCCGAGCTCATGGCCGTGTCACACGCTGAGGCCTGAGTAGCCTGGGGGGATGACAGGAGGTCAGTTCTGCAGTATTCCATGGGAGAGGCAGGGAAGAGACAGAGTAGGCCTGGCCTAGGGGTGGAGAAGGAGAGTTTGAAATAGGGATCCAGCAGCCAGGAGCTGAGAAGATCCCGTCTTTGCTGATTGCTGCTTCTGCAAGATGCTTTCTCAGCAGCGTGGCTCTGCCAGGACCGCTGCAGCTGGGCACAGTTAGCGTTTGGGATGTTTTTTCAATGTGCTTCTCTTCTGCTACATCAGCCACACATTACCCCCCTCATCCCACAGAACTGCAGACATCACCCTCTCCAGACCTCTTTCCTGTTTTTCCAGCACAGACATGTTTCTGCTTCTGTTACGATAGCCTTCCTGTCCTCATTTTGCTGTGCTGTGCCATTTTGGGACTGTCACCTGTTAACATTCAAGTGAAATGCCGAAGGCGGGTATCGCAGGGACTGGGAGGTACAAGGTGACAGCTCCCAGGAGCAGCCTGGCAGAGTTTTGTGAGAGTTCAGCCCATCTCTTAGCATCTGCCTGCTCCTTGGGTACTCCTGGAAATACCCAGACAGGTACTGATCAGGTAGCAGCTGACACAGAAAAACGTACCTGTTCAGCAGTTTGTTTGCAGAGGTGCAGAAGCCGTGAGTAGCAGCGGAGCAGGGACACCAGTAGGCAGCAATGGGAGAGGAGGCATCCTCGGACCGGTGCGTCAGGCACTGCGTTACGGCTGCGTTTGGTCATGGAAGGGCTCAGCGCTCCTTGGGGTGCGCGTGGGGCCGCAGTGCACGCTCTGCCGCTGGGGCGGCACCGGAGCCAGGTGAAATGCCGAAGGAGCACACGCTAAGGAACGTGTGCTGGCCTTCCTCCAGCTCCCGCAGGCAGGCAGATGGCCCTCCGGCGTGGGCACGGTGTGTGCCAAGCGTTGTCACCGATCCCATTCCTGGCACCTTTTCCTGTGAAACGGGCTCAGCTTTTACCAGGTGGGCACTCCCAGGGACTGTGCTGTTCCCGTGCCGGCCTGAGGGGCCCTTGCCCCCCCCAGGATGTGCCGGGCTCGCCCTGTCCTGTGCGGGGCCCTGCTCGGGGTAGGCAGTGGTGGGATTACGAACTCCGACAGTATTGCAGCACTCCGGTCCCTGTCCCAAGGTCGGAGGGAGCCCCCACCCCCAGGGGCCGCGCTCTCATTCCCATGCAGCATCTTTTGTTCCTTTGCTGTCCCATCAGTCGCTGCCATTACAGATCACCATTAGCATAATCTCTCTCCCCATTACTGTGAGACGTGAATGGTGACCGAGAATGAGACAAGTGTTCTAGAGACAGGAGCGACTCCTCCGGGCTCTGAGGCCTCTCCTGCTATCACTTGCGCTCACTTACGCTGCTCCTATTTTAAGGCTAGGGTAGGTATTTAATCTTTCCTGTTCAAGCAACTCCCTTCTGTCTGACTTTAGTGCTTCTGTGCCACTGTATGGGCCTTTGTGCTCCCTCATGGCTCCAGGTGACGCGTGTGAACTGTGTCGTTCCAGTGCTGCAGTAAAAGCTTTGCTAAAGGAAAACCGGAGTGCTCTGTTGTGCCTGTCCCTGCGCAGGCAGGAGGAGCTCAGAGGTCCTGCCCGTCCGCCAGCCACGGCACCGATACGTCGGCCATTCACAAGACCATCAGCATCCTAAATTTTCAGTCCCTGGGAGTTACAGTTACCTGTGCTGTCAGCCGGTCCGTTAGTGGAGTGATGTTGGGAAAACAACGTGGATGTCCCTGGGCTGGGGCTCCGGCTGACCGTACGCGGGCAGCAGCCTGGCTGTCTTCCCCTGCCCAGGAGCTGGGTGGTGGGTCAGACCCCCCCAGCGGGACTCTCAAAACTGGGACACAGCAAAGTCCATCGTTTGAGGGCTCACACAGGCGGTGATGGCCGAAGGGGAAGGCCATGTTTGCAGCCGACCGAGTTAAGAAACAATTAAGCACGTTTCTGTCAGGTCAGGAATAACATTTGCAGCTTTGTAACAGATTTCACGACTCAAATGGAAGTCTCTTTCCTGAATCTGACTCTTTAAAACAGCTTTTCAAATTATCAGCTGTATGTTAATTACTCTCACATTATTCCAGTTGAGATTTTTTTTTTTTAAGACTATTTCCAAAGATAATTTTTTGAAATTGAAGTGGGGATTTGTTTGTACAGATACACACTAGATTTTCCTTTAGCAAAGCAAGTTGTGCTGAATGCCATGCTTCTGCAATAGCTGAGCCCAGTTTTACTGAGTTAGAAAGCTCCTAATTTTTTTGATTGCTTCATGTGATAATTCTGCTGCTGATTTTTAGCTTCATCTGAATGAACAGTACAACTGTGGGATCTTGGCTTCATGCAGCAGCTCTGCTTGGATTGAGCCCTGGTTGGACATCTGATTGGGTTGTTTAAAGTGCTGGGCCCCAGAAGGCAGCAGTGGTCCCTGCTCCTGCCCATGCCAGCGATGCCCTCGCCTCGATGCAGGTTTACCGCTTTGTGCCGAGGTGGCAGTGCCCGTCGTCGGGTGCTGCTCAGAGCCCACTGCCTGGCACGAGGCAGCACTAGCGGCTCGTACTTGGCTTCCAGCACGTCCAGAGCACCCACATTTATTGTTGTAGACTGAAGAGCTCCTGTGTAAACCCAAAATCCCACCAGTGCAGCTTCTCCTGCCTGCGTTTAGCCCTGCGCTGTCGGTGTGAGGAAGATGCCAGATGCGTTTGCCATTCGCTCGCTCTAACCTGCATTCCCATGTGAAATGCCAGACTCTGCTAACAACCCATTCTCTGAACCTGCCAGTGACCTGCCCGCCCCGTGGAACGCAGCATCGCTCCTAGCGCAGTGTGGAGAAGACTGAAGAGGAGGTGTCGGCAAGCGGGGTTGTCTGATACGGGTTTGCAGCTAGTCTGATGCAAGGAGAGGGGCATATCGGGTTATGGGGAAACCCTGGCGAGGGCAAAGCCCTACTAGGTAACATGCCACATGTGTTTTCTCCTCCTGTGTCTGTCCTTGCATGCCGTAGTACCAGCAGGACCTAGTGGTGCTGCAGGACAAGCTTCGCATCTCCAACAAGAAGCTGGAGGAGTATGAGACCCGCTTCAAATGCCAGGAGGAGACAACGCAGAAACTGATGCTGGAGTACCAGGCCAGGCTGGAGGAGAGCGAGGAGCGGCTCCGGAGACAGCAGGAGGATAAGGAGATCCAGATGAAGGGCATCATCAGCAGGTACAGGGGAGATGGGAGTGCTGGAGACGTCAATAAGGCAGGTGGCCTGGCTGGCATTAGAGCTGACCCCTGCTCAGGAGGATCAAGTCTCCCTGGAGGTGCAGGCAGGCTTCCATGTGGGTCTTCCAGCATTTATTCACTTCCTGCCCTTCTGAGTTACAGCTCCTGGGAAGGATTTCAAACTCTGACTCTTTGGGTCCCCCCGTCAGTGTTACCTGGGTGGGACAAGGAGAACCCTTACATTTTCCTGATTGACAAAGGCAAAACTTGAGGAGGAGAGAGCTGGCAGCCCACCCCAGTTCTCAGAGGATCTGGCAGGCTTACTCTTCTGTTTATATGAGCAATGGATATAACAATCAAAACGTTCTTTTCCTGATGTTTAGCTAAAGATCTCATCATCATCCCATTACTCCTAGCTGTAAATCCCTTTCTCCCACCCAATGGGATGTGGTGTTTATGTTTGTCCAGGAGATAGACTGTTGCAGTGCAGCAACTGCACCTTCACCTGAGCCAAGCCAACTTAGTGCTTAGTCAGCCCTCATAAATGGGTCAGTCTTCATTGTTCCGTGTCACTTAAGCTTTGGGACAGTCTGCTGTAGAGATCTCTAGAGGAGAGTAGGAGCCAGAAAAAAGACTAGTTCTAAACTATTGGTTTGTGTGCAAGTGTGTAAGATAAGGTAGTGTGTAAGATAAGGTGGTGCCAATGACTGCCTCCTTTGTGCTCAAACGCACAGCCGTGGGTCCTGGAGCGTCTCAGCGTGTGCCTCAGCATTGCCATTTCAGATGAGGCAGTTTGACCTGGTGGGGATGATGGGGGCTGCTATGTGAGGCCATTTCCACCTGTAGACTATTTCACATCTCTTCCCTATGTGCTTCAGAGATGTAGAACACCCCTTTGCTTCCTTGGGGTCCACAACTAAACGAGGACAGGATCTGTATCATTCGCTCTGTGTGGCTGATTTAGATGTGTATGAGACTGGTATCTGGGCTTAGCAGAGCCCAACAAATGTAATTTTTTTCTTGTCTGTTCGACTACCAGGCTGATGTCAGTTGAGGAGGAGTTAAAGAAGGACCATGCAGAAATGCAGGCTGCCGTGGATTCCAAGCAGAAGATTATCGATGCACAGGTGAGTCCTCAATACCAAGGGCTGCAGCCACGCAGCAGTGCCAGCTGAAGCACAGCAAGACTGTGCGTGAGTGGGGTGGCAGCAGGCTGCAGTCAGTGCCAGAGCTGGTCAGACTTCAGC